AAAGGTCTTGGAAACTGTTCAAGAGACCTTTTCTTTACCAATTAGTCAAGAAACCTACTAGAAACAATGCTATTGTAGATTTATGGTTAACCTTCAAATATATAAATGATCGAGAGGGTGGAAATTGGGAACATCTGGACGCAAGTGATCATTGCTGTATTAGGTACAATGTTTTGCTGCATATGGAGATAATGAATAATGATATTTTGGTTGCAAATTTCAAAAAACAAAATTTGAAGAGATGCAAAAAGAATTATCTGTCGTGAATTGGGCAGCTGAATTATTTGGATACACTGATCAATGTGGAAAATTCTTAAATATTCAAGGTAAACATATTCCTTATAGAAAGAAATGGGTAGTTGTAAGTAAAAAACCAGGTTGGCTCTCAAAGAGTTTAAGAGATAAAATTAGAGAAAAACATCATAAATTTACGAAATTTAAATTGACTGGAATGACAGGAGATTTAGAAGATCAAGAAAGTTGGTGAAACAAGGAATTATGACATTAAAAAGGATGTGTGAGAAAAGGTTGGCTGAAAATGTAACAATTAACAGTAAAGATTTCTTTAACTACATTAAGGATAAAAAAAAGTTAGGATGGGGGTAGGACACTTGAGGGATGATAAAGTTATGCTAGTATCTGATGATTATGAGGTGACTGGGTTATTAAATTTTGCTTTTTCTTCAGTTTTTACTAATGAAGGTTTAAGCAGTATTCCACATCTTGAAGAGTACATAGATGGAAATGAGATCAAACAAGATGACTGCATTAATTCTGAGCTGGTTAAGAAAAAAATTGAGAAGATTAAAAAACAATAAGGCTCCTGGGCCAGATAATAATTCCTCAAAGGTTTTGAAGGAGGTTAAAGATTGGATATGTGAGCCATTTGCTATTATATTTTTGTCGGTCCTTGAATAGTGAGCAGGTACCAGAGGATTGGAAGTTAGCTAATGTAACTCCTCTTTTCAAGGGAGGTGATAATAATTGTCCCAGTAATTACAGACCTATTAGTCTTGCATCAGTTTTGGGAAAAGTTTTAGAAAGTATGATAAAAGATGCTTTGGAAAGTCATTTAACAAAGTTTAGAATTTTATTGGATAAATAACATGGAAAAATCTTGCCTTTCAAACCTTTTGACATTCTTTGAAAAGGTTACTGCTTATGTAGATGAGGGTAAGAGTGTTGACTTGGTTTGACAAGGTGCCACATAAAAGGCTTGTAAAAGAAATTATCTCTGTAGGTGTGGGGGATAAGTTATCAAATTGGAGAGAAGAGTGGCTGGATGGAAGAAAGCAGAGAGTTGTTACAAATGGAGTTCAGTCAAACTGGAGTAATGTCACAATTGGGGTACCTCAGGGATCAGTCACAGGACTTTTACTCTTTTTGATTTACACCAATGACATAGATGAAGGAATGGTCAATAAATTACTTGAATTTCCAGATGATGTTAAGGTATTTGGTGTTGCTAGCTGTGAAGAGGATGCTGGTGATTTACAAAAGGATTTAGTTGGGCAAATAAATGGCAAATGGGTTTTAATTATAATAAATGCAAGATAAAGCATGTGGGTTATCAAAATTTGGATGGGAATACCTTAACAGTGTCATGAAAGAAAGGGATCTTGGTGTACAGTTGATCAGTCTCTAAAGCCATCCAAACAGTGTGTTGTTACTAGTGGTAGGGCAAACAGGATTTTAGGTTGTATCTACAGAAATATTGAATACAAGTCTAAAGAGGTTATAATTTCATTGTATAGGTCAGTGGTTAGGCCACATTTGGAATATTGTGTTCAATCTTGGGCTCCTTACCTTAGGAAAGACATTGAGTTGTTGGAAAGGGTTCAGAGAAGGGTTACAAGAATGGTGCCTGGGTGGTTGTCATACGAGGAGAGGCTGAAATCGCCGAAATTGTTTTCTCTTGAAAAAAAAGAAGAGATAGTAGGGATTTGATTAAGGTGTTTAAGATTTTAAAGGGAATTGATAGTGTTCATGCATCATCTTTTTTCATACTTAGTGAGAATAGTAGGACTAGGGGACACAAATATAAATTTTGGCAGGGTATGAGTCATCTTCAGCTAAGACACTTTTATTTTTCTAACAGGGTGGTTGGCCTTTGGAATGGGTTGCCTTCAAATGTTGTGGAAACAGTAAATTTAAGTTAGTTTAAGAAAAAGCTTGATAACAATATGAATGATAAGGACTAGCTTTAAGATTGTTTTTATTTTAATTCATTTGCTAACCTTTTTTAGTTTAGTTTAGAAAATGGAACAGCTGAGATGGACCAATAAGTTCCATGTTGTTCCAAAACGTTATGTTAATATACCCTTTTTTACTGTTCTTTTCAAATAGAAAATTTTAATACATTTGTACCTATAATACAAGATTCTTCACAGCACAGTAAATCTGTTTTAATATTTTAAACTGAGAAAATATGAAAACATTTTTCATTTTTAAGTTCTTTAGATTACCACATATAACAGGTTGCATCATCATCTTTGTATTAAAACTGTGAAAGGTGATTAGAAAATATCAAGATCATACAAATCCTTCAAACTTACCTTTTCTAAAGTCTTTTGTGGTAATGCTGCAAGACTTAAGTCAGAAGACTTCAGCAACGAGGCACATACCTGATGAAGTGCAGAACTACAAGCTTCAATGGCTCCCTATAGAGCAGGTTTTCTCTTTAAATTATACTCAAGTTTAATAAGTGTTTGTTTTTTATCTACACATTTAATTATATGATTAAACACTGTATCAAAAAAGCATACTTTAAAGAGACACAACACGCATCATGTGATAATACAAACATAAAACAATACTGTTAATAAAAACATTCAGTCATTAGGGTACTTTTGGTACAACATGTTATGTGCATTTAAGGCTTAATAAATCAGGAAAACAAAAAAATAAATGTACTTAGTAACACATTTTTCCAAAATATAGGTGGTGGCCAATTCTTTGATAATAATTTTATATTCGTTTTGGCATTCTACATATTTAACTATTCTCATCATTCTTAAAAGAAAAACAACAAAGAAAATATATATTTATCAAATTATTTTTCAAACAAAGAAGACTTTCAGGCCTTTAGTAACTTCCTTCATAAAACTGACTTCTTTCATTAAACATTCAACCGCCTAGCTGTTATTCATGACTTAACAGCCAGGTGAGTTTCAACTTTTACTGTAGTATATTAACAGGAAGGAAACATCTAAATAAAACTTGTAACTACAGTAACAAGTTAGCTTGACCAAATGTGAAGCAACACACTTATATATAAAAGTGAAGGCTGTGATCGTGAAAAAGAATCTTATCCAAAAAGTCATTGCAATGAAACTACACATATTTCGTGGCACTGTCAACAAGATAGAACAAGAATTTGAAACTGATGAAGGCTCCTGAACAAAAATTTCAAAAGCTCTCAACCAAAACCCTAAATCAAGTGTTTTTTATCAGAAGAATGATCAAAATAGTGTAAAACAACAATCTCACTTAACTCTCTCAACACGTGCTTGATCAATTTGATCAACCACATGACCTCTTTGTACTCATTTAAAGTCTTTATAGAATTAATACTTCTAATTTTCAATATAGTGTATATCTTCACAAATTTGGCAGTCTTTCACAAAAAAATCATATTTTTTATTGAAGTATTTTCAATAAAATAAATTAAAGATTTGTCCATGAATATACTGAGTATTTGTTTTGAATAGTCCATGTGCAAAGTAATTTTCATTAAAAATACTTTTCTTCATCTAAAAAAATCTCAAATTTCCTTTGTGTAATCCCCAAAAACCTCCTAAATACATTTCAAACATGTTTTTCAGTAAAGCTTTATATTTTATGTGTTATTTTCTCAACCCTATCTCTATATAGGATCAGCCAATTTGACCGACCTTGTAACTACCAAACAAAATTGAAATAAATCTAAATTAGCCTTTTTTTTCTTTCTAGAATGACTTCAAATCATAACATGAAACTACATTCATTTATCCTAAGTAGCTTTAAGATCGTAACAGTATACATCTATTTATAATTAAATTTTGTTGTTTTATTGCCCTTTGAACCATGTCTAACTACTATTTGCACCATTATAAGTTGTAAATCACTCAAGGAAGGTGCAACTCATATTATGCTGTCAAATTACATTACCCATGAACTGCTTGCATGTGTGCCTTGTGAAAAATTATTATTTTATTATTATTATTGTTTATTTTACCTAATTTAATCTTAACTAACCTAAAAAGATCTCTATTTTTACATTTTAATCACTTTTATAATAACAACTAAAATACTTACCCAATAGACTAATAACATGCAAAAATTAGACAATTTCCCTTCGCACTCAAAATTTTTCTGGCTTTCTAACCATGCAAGAAGAGCAGCTACAAATTCATCCAAGCTAGTCATTAACATTACCACAAGAACGAATCTTGTACTCTGAGTGGAATTGATAATATTCTGTTCAGAACACAGCATTATAAAATATGCCATTTGATAGATGAAAACCTTGACTTTCTATTGGTTATAGGTAATATATAATTAAATGTAATAGAAAACTATTAACAAGTCCTGAAAGAGAGGCAGTGGCAGGAGGGGTCTGATTTTTTATTTGATAGCTCTGTAACCAAACAAAACTGAAGGGTATAAAAATTATGTTTTGTTTGAGCAATTTTATAGGGAGTAATTTACATTTAAGCAAAAATCCCACAGAGGAGGAAAACTGCCAAATCATGAAGGTAATGAGATAGGAGGGTGTTGGGAGAAGTCCACATACCAGCCCACAAAATATCCTCCAAAAAACAGTTCAGATGAGCAGACAATGGCATTGATATGTGCCAAATCTGGTGAGAAGTGATGTGGAGCATATTTTGATCTACAACAGATAACCCCAACTAGGTTATAGGAATCAACTCTCGAAGTGCCCTGGTTAATGTAATGGGTAATAAATCCAGGGACACTGCAGGATCCCACTAAATAAAAAGCTGGTGCATAGTGCCCCTGAGCAATTCCGTACAAGCCACAGAACATCTAAGTACTCTGACTGGACACAAAAAATCTGGGTATGATAGATTGTAAAGATGAGAAATGCCTGGGAAACGAATAAGAAAAATAATTTATTCCCTTCTCTGACAGCGAGAGCATTCAATAGGAAGGATCTGTCTGGATAGAGCAAAAAAATAAGTGGAAGGATAGAGAGTCTGCTGAACAGAGATAACAAATAAATAAAAACAGCTGTGTCAGGAAGCTAACAACAATAGAAATATACCTCGAGGGAAAGGTGATACAAAGAAATTGAGGCCATAGGTTTGAAGTGATAAAGTAATAATGCATAAAAAAAAAAACTCTAAAGTCCCAATTAGGCAACTGAAACGGTCGTTTGGGATGAAGAATATAAAAGGATCATAAAACAAGATTGCACAGGAGTAAAAAACATTCGTATACATAGAAGGATGCTGTATATAATGTAAGGTAGAAGCCAAACCTTTAAAAAATCCATGATCAAAAACTTGAAACTATGGAGACTGCTGGATGAAGTGGGTTGAAGGCTCACTGAAGACACCATTGACAATATGTAGTCCATTTCCATTGATAGATTGCCATAGTAGGTTGATGTAGGATATAGTTAAATAAACAGAAACTGTAGAATTTAAACCTCTATGGTTGGGCAAAGGGCTGCATAGCTTCCGTGCATGAAGCTGGAGTCATTAAATGTCCAGATGTTGAATGTTGGACTGCAGTTGTCCCAACAAGGATGAATGAAGAGGTAGTGGTAAACATTCTTGGAGCAACTGAAGAAGAGGAAACCATGTCTGAGCAGGCCAAAAAGATGCTGACAAGAGAACCCAACATGGGATGAAATGAATCATAGAAAATAGTCTGGGTAAGAGATGAATAGGAGGAAAGGCATACAAATGGAATCCTGTCCAGTCTTGACTGAAAGCATCTATTGCCAGAGCATGTGGATGTGGAATTGGAGACCATAACTGTAGGCTAGCATTCCAATGGGTTGCAAAGGTGTCTATTGTTGGAGAACTGAACTGAGAACAAATCCATTGAAAGACTACCTGATGGAACATCCATGCTGGTGGCAGAATCTGATGGGGTAGAGAAAAGTGATCTGCTATCGAAATCATAACCCCTGGCATATGATGGGCCAAAAGATGGACGTCATTGGAATGAGCCAAAAAAGAAGATCCAAGGCCCAAAAACCAAGACCTCAAGAATGAGAACTTCCCTGATGAGAAAGATATGAAACCACTGTGGAGTAGTCAGGATGAATCATGACCATTTTGTCATGCAAGACAGGAAGACCTGGAATCATTACTAGATGTGCTGCAAGAAGTTTGAGAATGTTGGTATGCAGGGTAAATTCGTAGTTGGTCCAAATACCCAGGAATGCCTATCCCAGAAGAAAGGAACCCCATCCGTGAATAGAAGCATCCATGAAGAGGTGGATTTCCACACGAGGAGGTGGTATCCAGACTCTGATATTTGTGTTGTTCCTATCTAGCCACTACTTGAGATCTGCAAATTGTTTGAGCAAAGAGACTGTGAGATCCAAAGGATCGATATGCATGAGCCACTGGCCACAAAATGACCACTGTAGGGCTTGATCAAATGATGTGAGGGATTCTAGAGAAGCCCAAATCCCTAAAACCGATAGAACCATCCATGCAGTGGGAGAAGGTAACATAAGCAAATGCTTGATAATCCCTTCCCTAGCGTGAAGTCTGAGGGGAGAAGGTTGAGCATGACTGAAAGTGCATTGAAAAAACACCCCAAGATGAACCACGTATGAAGTTGGTGAGAAATTGATTTTTCCAACCTGATATGAAGTCCGCCTTTCTGGCTTTGGAAAGGAGAATCTGTGGATGTAGTGTGGCAACGTGACAGGTTGATGCCAAAAGAAGTCAATCTTCCAAATAGTAATGTGTTCACAGACCAAGAAAATGAAGATGTGGCTCAAAAGCCCATACTACTCAGCAGAAAACATATGGTGCTCAAGCAAGTCCAAATGGGAGAGCTTGGAACTGCTACATCTGGTCCTCGTACACAAAAATGTAGATATCGACGAGAAACTCTGCTATGGGGATGTGAAGGTAGGCGGCTGTAACAATCTTGGTCAACCAAAGATCTGGTGTGAAGTGCGATTGAAGTAGAAGAAAAGATTCCATGGTGAAGTGAGGAGGCTATAGGAAAATATTGAGTCGAGACAGATTGATGATAAGATGCCAATCTCTAGTGTTTGTGATCACCAGAAAAAGACAATAATAGAATCCTGGATGAATGGGACCAACCTTCTGAAAGGTAGACACCAACACCACTGGTGCCATCCTGACCTTCTGAATTTCCTCGAGAATACGGATGGAACCGATTTTTAAACCAATAGAACGAGGTGTCCAAGGTGGGGGCTGTGAGACGCAAATGATCAAACCTCCAGAATTACCCGTTGAAATAGAAGAGAGGCGAGTAGTCAATGACAATAAAGAAACCTGCAAACGTGTCATAGAAAATCAGGCTTCGAAAGTTTCAGGGACTCCAGCAAACTAGTAAGGCAAAAAAGGAGCACCTCCCGGAAATCATGAAAAGAAGTTTCACAATATAGTAGCAAGAGTTAAATGAATCCGTGAAAATGGAGTTCTGGTAAGAGGGATAACAGGTTCTAACCTGGAACCTCATAGATCTAACAACAAACAGCAAACTAGTAAGGCCAAAAAAGGAGCACCTCCCGGAAATCATGAAAAGAAGTTTCACAATATAGTAGCAAGAGTTAAATGAATCCGTGAAAATGGAGTTCTGGTAAGAGGGATAACAGGTTCTAACCTGGAACCTCATAGATCTAACAACAAATCCAACTGTTGAGTGTCCAAATATATTACAGCCAGACAATGATAAGCCAGGGCATGTTGTTCTGATAAATGAGGGAAGAAAGACATAGCAATACTCTCTTGTAATTGCATTGCAAACATCCCAGCATACACAGCAATATCAGGGGAAGAACAAAGTAATACCCCCAAGATCTATCTGACAACAAGGCATGGTAGATTTAAAAGCAAGGGGGTGTATCCCCAAAGCTTCACAGACTCATGTAACTAACTGGAGGAAAGAGGCAAAAGATGGCTGATCAGATGAGCCCTCAACAGAGGCAGCCCTAGTGAAAGAGGGAGCAGAAAATAGTGTCTAAATTCTCCTCAGTATACTTAGGTTCATGATGAAAAGCAAACTCTGAACCTCCAGGCTTCATGGACTCCAACTCATCCCAAATCATATCACGGACAGCCTCCACCGAGAGTGACCCCCCCACCCCCCCCGGACTACAAACAGACAACAAAGGAGGAATGGACAAGGTCTGGTTCACCACCGTGCCAGAGACCATTACATGGATATTCATACCTGAAGTTTTTTATTTGAACAGCAAAAGAAAACCAATGAAAACGGGGAAAAAAACACACAAGACTACTGTCAAAATGCTTCAAAAGAAAATGTTAGCCACAAAACATAACTCCTAGCACTTTGTCGAGAAAAAGTTATATTGTCAGCATACAGTATTTATATACAGTACCAGCATATAGGGCGTGTGAGGGTCAATGTATAGTTTTGCAAATGAGATATTGCTGAGGGCAGTCGAGTGGGTTACAAAGACTAGAGTAAGCGAATACGATGTTTAGATGGCAAAGATGAAGATAGTGAAATTGCTATAAGTGTCAGCGGACGTATGTATGTTTTGGAACTACAGCATCCAGTAGTGGTGCTTAAGCACAACCAATTCAATCTTTTTATCTTATCGTAATACACTTGTCACCACTACTTTTTATTATTGTTATTAACACTTATATAAAAAATTGTGTCTTTATTTTCCATACAATTTATACTATGAAACTAAGTCTAGATAAAATAAAAATTCACCTTGTGCCGACATCTCATCAGAACAGATACCATGCAATTTACAGCTTTTTGTACCAGGGTATGATCAATAAAATGCTTCAGCTTAGGGTGCTCCGAAAACATGACTGTAATAAGATCAGCGAGAAAGAAACAACTTTCCTATATAAAAAAGAAAAGGATATACTAAATGTTGTATCTTTCAAGATATTGCCTTAGCTTGCTGGTGTGTGTTGATAAGGAACTGTGTGACATAAAAGTAAAGAAAAGAAACACTAGTATAATTATACAGTTTTTTTTCCTTATTTGTTACACTTGAATGATTTGTTAGAAAACTGCAATTGTCCACATACCTTAAGTATTGGTGTTACATCATTTAAACTGTTTAGTTATATAATAAATATCTTGATACAAAATATTATTATGTATTACAAAACATATGGTTTGTATACAATACTTTTGATTAACAGAATGGTTCTTATCATGAATCTTGAAAACTATAAAACATTACTCAAGAAATACAGAAGTTGATATATGAACCTTAATGGACTGCCAACAACAAGATATCAGAAGCTGGTAATCACAGGGCAGAGCTGGATCATCTTCTGAGATCTGGTTTTCCCGAAACTTGTAAGCCACATTTTGTAGAGCAATACTCATCTCTTCGAATGATGGTGCCACCTCTGTACAAAGAGAACATATAAAAAATATTTAGTGTTATAGAAATTAATATATGAAACCATACATATGTATATTTTTTCTCTCCAACAGATACTTTCAAAATACTCTTATAAATCATTAGTTGGAGTACCCGGGTGAAATAATAACTCATTTGTAACATAGGATTGGAAATTATGCATCTATTTCTTTTTCTTTACCTATCACTCCGAGTATCCTTTACTGCACATGCACAAGGATTTAGTGTTATACATTTAAAATTTTATTAAACTACTTTTTTGTTCATGTTATATCAATTAGAATAGCATAAAATCTCAGCTAATAATCCATATTTTAATAGTATACAAGTTAAGTTCTTAATTCAACAAGGCAATATAAAAAAAAAATCTTGAATTTCCACTAGTGTGACCCACATTTTTCTCTTAGCATGTCATCATGCCTATTTTATCCACCACCCCTCGAAAAAGTACAAAATTAAACGTAAAATACTCTCTATAAAATCTTTATTGCTCAAACAAACCATAATTTTTATAGCCTGTAATTTTGTTTGGTTACAGAGAAATCGAATAGAAAATCTGACAAGAGAACTATCAATGAATTGTGAAAGAGAGAGGATGTGACAGGTGGGTGTGGCAGGAGGGCTTATATTTAATTATAAATTACCTGTAACCAATAGATAGTCAAGTTTTTCATCTATCAAATGACGTATTATATAACATTGTGTTCTGAACAGATAAGCAACAATTTCACTCAGAGTACAAGCTTCATTCCCATGGAAAAGTTAATGACTAGCTCGGATGAATTTGTAACAGCTCTTGTCACATAGTTAGAAAGCCAGAAAAATGTTGTGCGTTATGTTATTAGTCTATATCCTTTGGTGCATTATTTAATTAAATAAAAATTATCAAGTGTATTACTATCATTACTATAAAAAATTAGGCTTAACTGTCCTCGACAATAGAGAGAAAGAAAAAAAAGATTTAAAAGTTCTTTTAGTGTACAAAACTTGAAGATATATTTAATATGCGGAAACATTTGTTAGCTGAGCTCTTGCACAGACCTTAAAATATAGTGTTGATAAACAGAAACATCAGCACATATATTCTCTCCTTCCATCCCTAAATAATACACAGTCTTCACTTGATTTAAACTTATTTTAATTATTTAATCGGTGCCACATAGTTTATTTATACAGATTACCTCAGTAGTTCACTTCTTCTACAGTTTTAGTTTTACTAGAAAAATATCATCATGTTTCAAAACCATAAACAAAACTGTACCTGGGACTGGGTTTTACTTTTTTTTCTTTTCAAGGACAAACATCAACATTAACATTTCCTAGGATACAGACTTCAAATTAATTCAGTAATTTGATAACATTCAGTAACAATAAATAAGTAGGATACAAACCTTTGCTGATGTCACTTCCTGATCCCATGGCCTCTAGCATAAACTTCACAATACTGTCACAGAGGTCAAACACATTTGTCATCAAATGTTGCATCTTTATCACAGTTAGTTCATCTCCAGGAATCAACTCTAGTAAGTGACTCAGGGCTTCAGGTTTATCTGTCATGACTCGATGCAAAGCATGAAGTATACCTGACAATTGAATAAACCAGCTTTTTCAATTTTAAGAGTAAATATGTTTTGGTATTTTTTTTTCAAATGCTTAAAACTTTGAATTACTGATCTATCAAAGAAAATGAATGTTAAAATGGTCTGTTAAGTTTCATTCATAGGTATAATTTCAACTGTAAACCAGGTTTTAATGTTATCTTACCCTTGCAAGATACAAAAATTATTATATGTACCATGTACTGGGGCATTTGCTGCAGCTTTCAATAAATTATTCTCAGCTAAAGCGAACTGTTTCTCTGCCATTCTCAGAAGCTCTGTCAGGTAGTCCAATTCAATGTAGCTGTTATAATCCAGAGTAGTGGTCAATATTTCCTTTTGAGTTAAGTTAATCTGCATCTTGGATCTTACTACACATCTAGAAAATGAAAAAACAATAAACCATAAATATTTATTGATGTGTGTGTGTGTGTGTGTATATATGTCACTGTTGTTTAAGTTCATAGATTCACAAGGGGCTAACTGTACTATATTTACCATAGGAAATCAAATCTTGAATTTTTGCATTGCAAGTCCAGAAACTTACCGCTGACCAACCAGGGGACTTGTGTAAAGATATATATATATATATACACACACACACATTCCTTACTTCAAATGTAAATTAATATACACAAACTGAGCTCTTAAATGAAAAGAAATGTTAAAATCATTATCTTGTTTCAAGATCCTGAAATAACAGATTATATGGATCTATAATGAGAGTTTGTTAAACAGGCAGCAGCTTATTCCCCATTTGCTGTTGACAAAAAAAACAACATACATCACGTATAATAGTTAAACAAACCACCTAAATGTCACGTTAGTGTAGCTTATATAATGTGTAAAGTTTAATATACTCTAATCCCTTATAGTGATGGCACATGACAAGACACACATTCAACATGTAATGCTGTTTGAATACAAGAATGGAAACAATGCCTCTGTAGCCATAAAGAGTATCAAAGAAGTTTATGGAAATGTTTTGAACGTTCATAAGTGTCAACGATGGTTCAGCAAATTTCGTTCATGTCTGACGTTTGTTGAGTCTAACCCAAGGCAACACACTCGTGAAATGGTCCTGAAATTGCATGTCTCTCATGAAGCAATACATGAACATCTAAGGAATATGGGAAAACTCCATAAAGACAGTGTTTGGGTGCCTCACGAACTCTCCGATGATCATCGTTTCCAACGTGTGAACGTTTCTTTGTTTCTTCTGGCACGTAAAGCGCATGAACCATTTCTGGACAGAAGTGTCACCGGTGATGAAAAATGGATTCTCTATGCAAATATTAAATGGCAAAAACAATGGCTCAGTCCTAAACAAAAACCACTTTCAACCCTAAAATCTGGACTTGATCCACAAAAAGTGATGCTTTGCATTTGGTGGGACATCAAAGGAGTAATTCATTTCGA